TTAACTTGGTCTATAAACGATCTTAAACTAAAGCTCGGCTCGACTCGTTATTCTTCGAGTTCGAGTCGATTCGAGCCGAGTCACGAGCTACTTGTTTAGCTCGCGAGCTTCGAGCTTTTTTTCCAGCCCTAGGCAGCACTACCACCTCCCTGATGTGTTCAGTTAAACACAGCTGCAAAAATCTTTCGTGCCAGCGGAAGTACTGCTTGCCCGAGCGGTACTACCACTTGTGCACGGGCTGAAGGGGCATGATGGTTGGATTTCATTCCCCACTATAAAAGGGAGTCATCTTCTCCAAGTTGACTTACCTGTTCCTCCCCCAAGCTCCATTGTTGCTCACAAGCTCATGTCGCCCGATCTCTCTCCCTAGCCAACCAAACTTGTTGATTCTTTAGGGGTTGGTTGAGAAGGACTAGATCTACACTTCCACCAAGAGAAATGATTCCCACCACTAATGTCTTGCAGATCTTGTTACTCTTGAGTGTTTGAGCACCCTAGATGGTTGAGGTCACCTCGGAGCCACATGCCATTATGGTGAAGCTTTGGGTGGTGTTGGGAGCCTCCAATTTGGTTGTGGAGAGAGCCCCAACCTTGTTTGTAAAGGTCCGGTTGTCGCCTTCAAGGGCACCACTACTAGAATCACGGCATCTTGCATTGTGCGAGGGCGTGAGGAGAATACAATGGCCCTAGTGACTTCTTGGGGAGCATTGTGCCTCCACACTGCTCCAACGGAGACGTACTTCCCCTCAAAGGGAAAGAACTTCAATAACATATCCTTGTCTCCACCGGCTCCACTTGTGGTTACACTTTTACTTTGTGCAAGCTTTACTTGTGTTTTATCTCTTGCTTGCTTGTGTGGTTGTTGTTGCTAGCATCATATAGGTTGTTCACCTAGTTGCATTTATAGACAACCTATTTGTTGCTAAACCTAATTTGTTAAGAAAAGCTAAAAATTGGTAGTTACCTATTCACCCCCATCCCCCCCTCTAGTCAACCATATCGATCCTTTCACTCTTGTTCCTCATGATTGGCTTGTCGTTGAGGACGAGGGTTTCGTGCCCGGTTCCTCCTTTCTTGGCGCTCCTCAAGACGAGCGGATTCATCTTGTATCTCTTGACGGAGCATTTCTTCTTGTTCACGCACTCGAGGTTGCGCTCATCGACGACACGAGTGGCCTCTCGGAGTGCATGTTGTGATTCAAGCGCTTGTTCCTCACGGCGTTGTTGCTCTTGCCGTAGTGCATCATCGTCTTTGTTGCCTTGGTGTTGGCGTCGTGGGGCTTGCTCTTGTTCCATGGCACCTTTTTCTTGGCGACGAAGTCGTTCGCGCTCTCAAAGATAGTCTTGCAAACCATTTCCATGGAATGAATTTTCTTGAGCTTGGCGATCTTGATGGACATTGCGGCGATGAGAACGAGCTTGTTGAAGACTTACATTGGAAGAAGGGTACGAAGAGTGTCGACTAGAGTGGCGTCGTTTTGATAAAGATGATGTGAATGACGTGTGGTTAACCATCATGTGACGAGATTCTTCCATTTGTGTGGATAGCTTGGCATCAAGATAGTCCTGGTTCCTTGCTTTCGGTTGACGAAGGTCCATGGAGAGTTTCCCGATGCGGTCTCCCAAAGCTTCGCTTTCTTGATGTAGAGCTTGTTGAATGCCGAAGAGATGATTTTTGGTGTCCTAGTCGTGCGCTTCATCTCAATCCTCGAAGAGTGGGTTTGCCGAAGTGCTTGGCCTATCCATGATAGTCAAGTGGTGGTGAGTAGGAAATGAGAGAACAATACCGAAGTTACCTTTTCTAAAGATTGAGGATGTATCGAGTATAACTCAATATAATGCTACAATAATAGAATTGGTACAGGGTTTGTTTCTCACACCTACAAAAGTAAGGGATTATCGAGGAGCTTGGTTAGGATGTGTGGCACAAAATTCAAGCAAGTGTTAGTCAGGATATTGATAATGCTAAGAAGGTTCACAAAATTACAAGTAATGCAAATATATCAAAGCCTAGGATGTCACTTGGAAACACACACATGAAAGATAAGTGGGATCCGCGCAACCAAGGAAGGAGCAGAAAATGTGTAATCACAGAAAATGCTCTTGTTGCATGGATACAAGAGAGACAACAGCTCGATTGCTCAAATGGGCTAGATACGCTTGTGCACCAACCTATGAGAGTAATGTGCCGTCTTCAATACAATTTTGTTATGTATGTATGATCTAATATGATGTAATTATGCAAAGATGGCTCAGTGCTATTGCTTACAAGCTCTTTGTTTCTCCTCTTTTGCCTAAAAGCTTTGTCTTTCTCTCTTTTTTTCGTCTTTTTACTATGCCACAATGCTTGATTTGCAAGCGAAAATATGAGACAATTATGTAAGATATGCACAGGAGAGATTTATGGCACAAAGATGATAGCAAGATGATTTTCACGCTAAATGTAGCTATGCGGAGTAAGGGTATCACTATGGTGCACAAAGAGTGTGGCCCGGCAATTCTCAACTCACTAGTCTCGATAGGTAAGTGACGCAAAATGGATGGGGTTATCAATGCAATGGCAAGGAAAGGTACTAGGTGAGGTTACCATCCTTGCTTACGGTTGGTATGAGGATGAAGTGCTCGTTGTCGGTGTCGAGTCCGTGGTGATGATGAATAGTGGTGTTGTCGATGTCAAATTGTTCCTAATTAGCCGAAACACCTTAGGAAACGGAAACCGCAACTCAAAATCGATCAAATGCAGAAGGTGGATGCTTTTATGGTGAAAATTTTTATGAAAGCAAATGGTGGTGGTAATAATCTACGTGGATGAGGAATGTCAATAGCTACAAAACGAGCTAAAGAACAAGCAAAACAAACTTCGGGAGTGAAAGTTATGATGAAAACGATGTTAGGTTTGGGCTGAAACTGGGGGGTGCGGGCACCCGGGGTTTGGAGGGTGCGGGAGCCCGGGGTGGTCAGCGAGGGTTGGGCAAAAATTTCCCAGGGATTCGGGTGCCCGGGGGTAGCCCTTTTGGGCGGAAAATTAGGGGGGTAGAAAAATTGGGTGGATTTAGTGGTGGGCATGGTGTGGATGGTTGGGGAGAGGCTAGATCCACTTGCCAAACAACAGATCCATGGACCAAAACAATAAAATCTCACAAGAACCAACAAAATGCAAAAAAAATGGTAGGCTATTTTTGTGAGGATTTTCAAATTGGGACCAAAAGGCAACAAAATTAGGCTCGCAAATGGGGGGTATGGACTCCAAGATGTGAATCGACCTAGTTCATGACACCAGGATGTTGTAGGGTAGAACCCCAAGTGAGGATGTTTTCACACTTGGAGGGGTCCGAGCACCCGGGTAAAGAGATCGTGCATCAGGGGGGTCGCTGGGAGGAGGGGGTCGGGCACCCGGGGTCGCGCCAGGTGGGGGGCACCCGGGGTGTGAGGGCTCGGGCACCCGGAGGGGTCAAGGGGCAATGCCCCTCCTATGGTCGCCGGTCCGGGCACCCGGGGTGGTCAGGGAGCTCACCTGGGTGGCGACTAAGGGCCCGGGCACCCGAGGTGGTCCGAGGCCTTCGGTTCTTTGCGTATGGGTGTCCTTCCTCCTCCTCCGTGGGTGCTTGGGTCTCCCTAGAGTTGGCAATGGGTATCCATTACCCGCGTACCCTGCGGGTGAAATCCCTCTTAGGGCAAGGGTATGGGTCAAAAAAATACCCACGGGTACATAAATAGGAAATTTTCATACCTATGTACCCGCATATATTTTGACAAATAGGCCTTATATATTATTTATTCACATATTAAAAATACCATGTGTACATAAATCCCACAGCCCTAAAAGGATCTCATCATGCATTCATGTTAGGCCACCGCACCACAATAACTAGCCCACGAATGAGTATGTGTTGTTGTCATGATGTGTTGTTGTATATAAATTATTATTATAAGTTGTTGTTTATGACTGTGTAATGCTCAAATTGATGTGCTGCAAATCTGGATAATTTTACCCGCGGGTACCCATTTACCCTAATGGGTGACGGGTATGAGAAAAAATTATACATGTCAACGGATATGGGTAAGGGTGATGGGTAAGGTTTGGGATGACTGGTAAGGGTATAGGGTGGCTCCACCCATACCCAAACCCTGTGGCACCTCCTTCTCCCTCCTTGCCTCCTCTTCACAGCCTTCTCCTTGGTACCTAAGAATGCATAATGTTTTGTTTGAGGTAGAAGCCAATTCTCATGTGAATCCAAAGAATGCTTAAAGAGGAAAGAGTTAACTTCAGTTTCAATGGCACGTGCTCGTGCTCTCATCATTGGTCCGCTTCATGTTTGCGGTGGTGATAGAATGTCCATGCAGATGCATCAATTTTGCTGGGATGCAGACGCATCAATTTTGCTGGGATGCAACAAAGAACATGCATCAGTGAACCAAAACAACCGCTAGACAGTCTTACTGGGGTTGGGATCCTCTGCAGTACCATATGATGCTGTAGTGCCGATGACATGTGGGGCCAGGTCCCACATGACAGTGACTGTACAGCACTGCAGAGGATCCTAACCCGTCTTACTGGTAGGCGCAACATCTAGATGCCACGCTGACGGGCAGGCGTGGGCCACGGTCAAACGCAGCACGATGTGCCAATCCAACGGCCCAAAACACACCACGATGTGTCAATTCAACAGGCTGATTGGACGACCCATATCCACGATGTGCCCATCCAACGACACACCACACCAAAGACCCTGAGGAGGTGGGTCAACAGCACCACATACACTTCGAGACAATACGCGAATAAGCTATTACAAATTGAAAGGACACTGCAAGATTTCCTATATGAAACAAATAGGAAGTAATTTCATGGAGTCATCTACCAGATGTTCCAAAAGGTGATAAAAATTCTGCATTCAAACAAAACATGCACTTTTCAATTATTGCCCGTCCTTTCACGTTGTTGCTTGACGCATAACATATCTATCAAACTGATAACTTCATCACATTAACTTCCTCTTCTTTTCAGGTACTGCAATACCGATAGCTTGATCGCTCCCACCTTGGAGAAGACCAGTCCTACAAGAATACTGCCAAGTTAATAGAACGCCCATAGTTGATTCAGATAGGTACAGTGCAGAATATCACCAGTAGGGTTGTATACCCAACATGGGATAAACAAGGGTGGAAAAATGTACTTCCAACTGTGAAAACAAAGACTACTTTACCACAACTACATTAGACACAATGTAGTGAACCAGTTATCATGTAGAAGCATTTGCTTTGGAAGAGCAAAACGCAACGCAACCATCCTTCCAACACAAACAGAACAGAGTTACATACACAGAACATAGAACCGTTCATGTGCTAGACTGGTGTTTTGGTTGCTTGCAGACTCCAGGCAGCATAAGATATGAATAGTAGTACAAATAGAGAATACCAATGTTTCACTATATAGATGATGGACTAATCCAATTTTTAGGGTTAGCCGCTCAGAATGAACATACATAGAATCTTCCGGATATCAAGTCACATGTATGTCTTGACTAATAAAATTAGGTCAGACCCTCTATGATGTCAATTGTTTTGTAATGCAAATGACCAGACCTCCATGTGATTGTCAGGTACAGTTAAGACTGTGTGAGGTAGCAAATGTGCTGGCGTAAGGGATGCATGGGCCGTAATGGTGCAGGCAGGCTGTTGCCAAAGCCATGGAGTTAGACAGGTGAAACTATGGCACCCAGCACCATGGGGGCAGTAAGGACTTGCAAGATGATAAATTACACATTCTACAGTAACAAGGTGGTGCAGTGCCATATAAATGGTTGCATCCAGGTCGGATAGAATTCCCTACTCCGGGTGAATGCATTGTCTTGAGCTCTAGAAAAACACAAGAAACCCACCAACGAACAACAAAACTAAGGGCATTGTATTACTATATAAAACTATGAGTCCGGCTGCTAAAAGATGACACCAAACAAAACATCAAACAACAGAGACATCTCTCTGGCGGATTCCTTTTTCTAAAGGGCAGCATCTACACCTTGTGTCTCTCCCACCAACATTGTCTCAAAAAGAAGTACCCAAAGACTCGGTGGTAGAAGGTGCAGCTTGACTTGCTGGAAATTGCAGGTAGAAAGATTTGGTTGAAGCCTTGAAGGATGGCCATCATACAGATGTGACAGCTAATATGAAGAGAAAAACTGAGAGTAAGACAGTACTCCTATTGGTCACAGCCAACTAACATCTCTCTTCAAAATTTTGATTCAAATTCCAAACTCTAGATCCCAGGTTATTTTTGTTTCCTGGAAGTAAGATCAAGACTGCCCTTGATTGACACAAACACCAAATGGGGCAGGAAGAGTCTAGACACATAAGTGGCTGAGAAAACAAACAGTCCATAGGAATATTGTGCACAAACCACAAAGTAAATTCATGAGAAGCAATTACCTTGTTCCAAGCAAATTGAGGTGCTTGGAGAACTCGGCAGGAAGAAAGGTAGAGTAAACCTGGGGTTTTTCTCTGGCAAAGTACAAAGCTTCATCAGCACAGAGGTCCCCCACCTGTTCTGTACCATTGATGTATGCAGATGACGACTTCACCTTGCCATTGCTAATGTCAATGGCAACAATCCATACCTTATTATACATGTACGATGCTTGGTCATGCCCGATCATGAAGTAAATGACACTGGGCTCATACATGCTGATAACAGGGTACTCTAATGGGGTACGAGGAAGATGTGTGAGTCCACCAAACCCTATCTCACTGGATCTAATAGATGCATCCTGCTTCCACTTCATCACGCCGTTGCTTTCTGTTATTAGTGCCCAGGAGGTGATGATGAAATCATCACTGGCAGGTTCAGTGGTTTCAAAAAACTCATCATTGCCATCGACAACTTTGACAAATTTCATAACCTCACCCTCTGTGACACCAACGGTGTGGTACGCCTCTACCCATGCTCGGCCCTTGTGTCCGGCCCATAATATGGGCAATTTAGCCGGGAGTTCCAGGTATAGGAGCTTGGGGCTCTCATTGAACACATCGCAGAACAAGATACCAAAGGAGTAATCAACCCAACACAGGTAACTCTTGAAGGGGATGACTGTGTGAGCATCAAAGTTCTTAAAGACCTCCTCCAAATCAAATTCCTTCACATCGTCGCAGGGTACGATGGGCGGATGCTTGACCTCCCAACTGCGAGAGATAGACGGGCACAGGACCTGGAGTTTAGGTGGCGCCCCGGACTCGGTGATCTCGAGCTGTGCGACGGCGACCTCATCCTCTCCGCGGCACAGGACGCCTAGGTCAAGGCACTTCAGCCTGCGCAAAAACTGATTCGTCATGACGTCAGCACTGGCCTTGATTTGGTCCTGGACCTGGGCAATGGTCCCGTCAAGAGGGGGTAGCCGCTGTAGAGACGGCGGAGAGCCACCACCGGCGGTATAGTAGAGGAAGTAGTCGATCATCGGGATGGTGTTCTCGTAGCCTGGCACAAGGATAGGATAACTCATCTAGAGGAGCACCGCGGCGCGGTGGGCGGCGACGATGTCGAAGCTATGGGACTGCGACAAGCCTTCATCCATCTGCAGATAAAGGCGGGACACCTCCGGCGGCTCAACGAGTTTGAAGCAGATCTGGAACTTTTTATCCATGGAGTTGGTGCCGGTGGCCAGGGTTGAATCGGCGTCCTTGGGGAAGGTGAAGTTCTCGCTCCAGAACACGAAGCGGTCGAGCATCAACCAATCAGGTAAGGTGGTGCTGGTGGAAGCCATGGCGGGTCGGGCAGCAGCGGCGGCGAAGGTGAATTGGTGAAGTGAATCTCCCGACAAGCTAGGGTTTGCTTGTTTTATCTCTTTCAGAGCGACGATGGATTTGTTTTTCTTTTTTGTTCGGTATATATTCTTACGACCGCGCAACGGCGCGCTTGGCCCAGGAAAGCCCATTCTGGCGCCGATTGGCGGTAACCACCTCGCCGTGGTGCGACAGCCCAACTCTTACCTCCTCAAAATAAAAAAAGTACATAAAAAGGCACATAAAAAATAGTTTTACATCATCAAAAAGTGCATTATACATCAGTTTGAGCATGCCCCTAAAAAAACATCATCTAACATGTTACTTTAACCGATGATATAAAATAGACACCATTTGCTCCAACAAATGATGTATATTGAGCATGATAATTGCATACATATTGAACATATTCGTATCAAACTCATCTACTCAAATAAATCATAAACACTACAAACAAATTGTTCATCACACATCACATACATTATTGAAATTATTACACAAATTTTTCATCACACATCACACGAGAAGATGAAATTAGGGATGTTGTTCCCCATGTCACTTCCACCATTCCTCCATGGCGTCCTTTTAAAGATCACTAGGTGTTGGGGCGCGCCCGTGGCGCGCCTCTTGAGGGAGAGCTGGGCGGTGCCTAGTTGTAGTCGCCCCTTTAACATCTATTTCTATTCTAATTAGCGTTTGGGATGATTGCTTTAATTAAGAAACTTAGCAACAGAAATAGAAATATATATACAGAGAAAGCCTATTATGAATCTAAACATGAAATATCTGACTGAGAATAGTGCATTTAACATAAGCAGCAACATAGGTTTAGCGTCTTGAAAAGCATGTGATAAGAGGGCCCAAAAGCAAACCATAGGTTATCACAGGATAGAGCATAATTAGGAATACTTAGTGGTACATCTCTACCTAATAATAAAGCAAATTGGGTTTCGGCGGTACGTCACGCACTTTTGCAGAACCCCCTGCGTTTTCTATGAATTAACCCGCAGTACACATTTAAGTCATAACCGAACCGTTATTTTAAATTTTTACGAAAACCCCCCTGACGTATTAGATAATTCACCCGCCAATCATATATAAGTCAAACACATGTTTTTTCTAAATTATCCGTATCTCTTAAACCGTAACTCTGATTTTAACATGTTATATATGAAAATTGATTAGAAAAATGTGTAGAATCTGAATATGATGTTATTTTGTTTGTTAAATATTTTTTAAATATTATTTTGAAAGATATTTAAGTCAAACAAATATTTTTCTTAATTATCCATATCTATTAAACCGTAACTCTGATTTTAACATGTTATATATGAAATTTGAATAGAAAAATATGTAGAATTTGAATATGATGTTATTTTTACCTATTAAATATTTTAAAATATTATTTTAAAAGCAAACTTGTAACCTATAGGGCACGTCCATTTTTCTTTCGTACCGCGATGATCTGGATTGCAAATAAACAACCACTAAAATCATAAAGAGACGAAAGAAAACATCGATAACCACACATGAGCACCTCTGAATAAACTGGCAGGGGAAAAACAACATTCAAACACACTTTGGTTTGTGTGAACACTAAGGCCACTGAAGGTGAGAAGGAGGATAAGTGGCAACACAAAAATGATGCCTCGCTAAAATAAAGGGCATGAACATATTATGGTTATTGGGTTAAGAGTGTGCGTTATTTTTTTTCTCCCGTTGCAACCCACGGGCTCTTTTGCTAGTTATATTAGATTATACTGACACAGGGGCTGCAGTGTCTTCGATGGTGCATCTAGAGGCGATGCACGGTGAGAACCAGGCGGCGCTTTGAAGTGATCCTTGAGTGTATCAGCAAGTCAGATGAAAAAATGTCCATGAGCTGATGTTATTTGTATGTATTAGCAAGTCAGATGGATAAGCCCAGAAATACTAAGATTATACGAGTTGATGTCCATCAAAGTGATTGTACTGGTGTGCGGATTATATTTGTTTGAAAAGCAAGCATGTATATAAACACAAAAGCAGCCGAGAAATTATGAGCTCAGATCCATTATACTGGTTGTACATGTAACGAGGACCACCCATTACAGTTTGTCCAAAAGTAGTGTAGCACATATGTCTCTTGTATTTATAGTACAGGAAAGAAGAAATCCGGACAACTCTTATTACTGTCACAACATTAAATGATCAGCCTCTGCTCAAGTGCTTGGCATGTAAGATCAGATCCAGTGCGGCGAGACGGTCTGAGCCCTCGGCTCATACGACTGGGCTTCATCAGTATTGCCTACCTGCTTCTCCAAGACAATTCAGAAAAAATATGAAAAACAACACAATGTCTTTGTCTTAGTAATAGACTTACTAATATCTAATTTATTTCAGATGTCCGATCATTTGAAGATAACACAACTTGAATTTCCTAGGTAGATATCTCAGTCCCCTTCAAATTAGGAACAATAACAGCAATGAACACCAAGCTTTGAACGATTTTTTTTTCAGAAATGTCACTCAGGCCTGATAATCCTCCTGCAAAGATGCACAACCTTTGTCCAGAAAAAAACAAACACTGTGAATACAACAAAAGAGGATGAGAGGAAAATTAGGCAGGCAAAGAACATGATGAATTGAAGGCATCACCTTCCTGGTGGCATCTATTTCATACTCCCTCCATTCCGAATTACTCATCACAGAAATGGATGTATCTAGATGTATTTTAGTTCTAGATACATCCATTTTTGCGATGAGTAATTTGGAACGGAGGGAGTAGATCAGCACTCCAGGCTGCATTTATTTATTTATTTTACTTGAAACATCATGCATGATTTCTTACTGTTTTGTTTTTAAATTAGAATTTGGCAAAAAGAACAAGAAATTAGTTACCATATCAAAAAATCACTTGACCCAGAGTACAATTAAAATTCATAGTAACCGAGATAAGCTTAGTCCCTGAACAACCAACAAAAACTCATGCAATATTTTGATATAAATGGCACAATGAATGTCAGAGTTAACCAAGAGGAGGGCGGCCGCGTGACCCTCATCAGAGTTGGTGAATATCTACGGTGCAACGACAAGCTGTAACTGCTGAAGCATTTAACTGTCACAGACCCCTCGCTGATGTGATGTAGCAAGAAACATCAGAGGGATTTTGAGGCATCGAAAGCAGTAGGTTCCTCAGGACAGGGTCCGGCTTCAACTTCTCATATGGCAATTTACCGTGCATGCTGGCTTGGAATTCCTCGTAGTCGAAATCATAGCCCATAAGCTGGCACATCAACAGGATTATGAAAAAAAGTTAGAAACAGAACATGTAGTTGAAATACTATGAAACTAACAGAAACTTGTTAATCTAAGCGTTGTGGGACATATATACCTTCAGACCGGCCATTGTAGTTCCTTATTCCCTGTACAAATTTAGGCACATCTTGGGGACCAAGCTCTCCTCAATCTGAAGCTTGTTCAGCATGCAGTCTGCGATTTCGTAGATACAACTATATGAGCACACAAATTCTGTAGCATGAAAACCGAGGATTGGTGTAAGTTTATTATTTTTCGTGCTCGGCTGGGAACCGCTCCGCTAGTTTGTCACGCTGGGCGGCACATGATATGATAATGCCATTGTGCTACTACTAACAGTAGGTCCATGTAGGACGGATTATCTGAAATCCTAATCGGATTCAAACCTAATGATGGTATACAATCCTTCAAAAGGCAAGAACATACTCTAGAATTTGACACATTAATCTTCTTGTGCGACTGAAATGCTCATTTCCTTGGAGACATCCGAAAAATCCTAAAGGAAACACACTTCAAGTTATAGAAGACTTATAATTGCAAGTAATCAAAGTTATGAACCAAAAAAATTGAAATGGCTACTGTACCTCAAAGATTTGCTTGATGTAAGGCTTCTCTGGAGGCTTTGATACATGCATCCAGAGATCATTGCTCCAGGAACCAATGATATTCAAGTAAATTGCATAGTCAATAATATCACACACATGTTGGTCAAAACTTCAAGCCACTGTAACAAAAATTGATAACCTTGCTAGTTCCATTTTAATTGTAGGGTCAGCCAGATGTTAATCCAAAGAGAAGATTAAACTTGCTTCTGGTCTTAGGGCTTGAATAGATGTGTGAAAAGATCCTTGCAATTTTCAGAAGAGCTACAACTCCGCTTCCATTGCTATGACTTCCCACGGAAAGCGCCTGAGAACATATGTATTATGAAAATATCAGAAATAATATCAAAGAAGATTCTTGGAATATTTTTTCAGGGTTACATACAGGTGCAACACCAAAAGTGTCAAAGTCTGCAACTATGGCAATAGTTGGCATGGATGTGAGTACACCATACACCATATTCAGAGTTGAATCATTGAAAAAGCTTTCAATAGTCTTAGTAAGTTTCAGAAAGGAGAATACCAAGGTTGAATCGAAGATAAAAGTCAAGCAGGTCACACCGCCGTGTAGGAAGGATTGCTTGTCAAGCTCTTGAGGAATTTGGACTTATTATTTTGACTTATGGCTCTGAGAAAAACCCTTTTCTAGATTAGGCTTTTAGATCTACGAATTACGAGAGAGATCTCCGAAAGTATAAGCGAGATGCTCTTACACTAGAAAGATAGTATAAGCTAGTTCTCACTAGCCGGGCCCTTACTCCTACTACTCACCAGCCGAGCCCTTACTCCCATCTACTACTTCTTATTAAAGCTGCAAGTGC